CCAAGGATCGACTGGCAGATCCCAAAGGTTGAACTACCTAATAGACAGAGGGTGTATCAGCCATGCATGATTGCTGTTGATCATCACCCTAAGACCTCTTGCTCCTGCCTGAGAGCGAGGGAGTTGTATTCTCTCTCGCGCAGTATGACCATGAGCGTCTGTTTATTGCTCTGGGCAGGCAAACGGATGCTCCCCATGTTTCCTGTCCTCCTGAGGTATAGCAGGTGGTTGATAAGTATGCTGATCTGATGCAGGAACCCATTACCCAACCGGCCAACCAAACATCGAATTGAGCTACTGCCTGGAGCGGTCCCTCCCAAGGGCCGCATCTACAGGATGTCCCCTGCTGAGCTTGAGGAGCTCAGAAAGCAGCTTGAGACCCTGACCAGCAAGGGTTGTATCAGACCCAACACTTCTGAATTCGGTGCACCCGTTCTCTTTGTTCCCAAAGGGAATGGCGAGTTCAGAATGTGCATTGACTACAGGGGTCTCAACAAGATCACTAGGAAGAGTACAGAGCCACTTCCTAGGATCGATGACCTTCTGGATATGGTGCAGGGTTGCACAGTGCTCAGCAAAGTCGACCTCAAATCTGGCTACCACCAGATTGAGATGGCAGAGGAGGATGTCTACAAGACAGCCTGTATGGGACTTATGAGTTCCTGGTCATGCCATTCGGACTTTGCAACGCCCCAGGTACCTTCCAGACAGAGATGCACCGCATCTTCAGGCCTTACCTGGACAAGTTTATGTTTGTCTACCTGGATGACATCCTGGTATTCAGCAAAACTGCCAGAGAACATGCGGAGCATTTGGCTTTGGTCCTTCAGTCATTACGCGACAGCCAATACAAGATCAACAGAGAGAAGTCCTTTATCCCTCTGTCATCTACCTGGGTCACGTAATCTCTGGAGATGGCCTGGCTCCTGAAGCAGCCAACATTGTTGCTATTCAGGAGTGGCCTCAGCCACAGACAATGAGGGATGTCAAGTCCTTCATGGGTCTAGCCTCCTACTACAGGAAGTTTGTCAGGAACTTTTCTGCAGTGGCTGCACCCCTGACCAACCCAATAAAGAAAGACACTCCTTTTCTTTGGTCCCTCCACTGTCAGCTGGCCTTCACACGACTCAAGGCGACCTTGACTCGTGCACCTGTGCTGAAGTTGCCTGACCCCACGTTGCCATTCATCCTGACCACTGACGCCAGTCAGTCTGGCATTGGGGCAGTTCTTCAGCAAGATGATGGGAATGGTCTACGGCCTGTTGAGTAAGAAGATCAAAACTCAAAAGCTTCAGGACTCCACCTACGAGAAAGAGCTATGTGCTCTTGTCTGTACCCTGAAACATTGGAAGCACTTTCTCCTGGGAAGGCACTTCAAGATCTTCTCATATCACTCCACCTTATAGTGGATGAAGTCCCAGGGAGAGCTAATGATAAGTTGGCACGGTACATTCAGTTCATAGACATGTTCGACTTTGAACTGAAACATAAGAAGGGCGGCTAAAACAAGGTAACAGATGCCCTCTCTCGTAGGCCTGACTCTTTTGCAGTGATCTCCTCTACTCACTCCTTTGGAGAGGAGACCCGTCAGACCATCGCTCATCTACTGCCTCAGGACCCGACTTTCGGACCCATAGTCAGGAATCTGCAAGCAGATCCTAATTCTCAACCAGGCTATGCTCTGAGTTCAGATCTGCTGTACACTTACAGCAGAGGGGAGGAGCGCTTGTGCATTCCCCAGGACAAGCGGCGCAGGACACTGCTGATGTCAGAGTGTCATGATGCCCGTGGACATTTTGGGTTCCTAAAGTCATATGCAGCCCTGTCGCAGCGCTTCTTCTGGAAGGATTTGCGGAGTGATATGCTGCGCTATGTGGAAACCTGCGAGCTCTGCCAAAGGAACAAGGTCCAGCGTAGGCCTCCTTTGGGACTACTCAAACCCTTACCCATACCTGATGGCCCTGCTGAATCTGTGTCGATAGACTTCATAGATTTAGGCAAGACCACCCCTCGTGGCATGCGTCAGGTTATGGTCTACGTGGACAGGTTTTCCAAATACGCAAGGTTCATCCCCTTGCCAGAAGTGGCCAGAGTCCCGACTGTGAGAGCAACCTTTTCAGAGAGGTGGGTCACACACCATGGACCGCCCACTTCTATAGTTAGTGACCGAGACCCCCGATTTTGCAGTGATGAGTGGCAGTCCTACTGTAAGGACTATCTACACTCCCGATTGGACATGACTTCTGGTCATCATCCTGAAGCCAATGGTCTGGCTGAAGTGATGAACCAAGTCTTATTCCAACTGCTGCGTCCTGTCATCTCTCCAGATCAGCAGGACTGGGATCTTCACTTGGCTCGAGCACAGCTTATGTATAACATGTCTGTCCATACCTCGACCGGGTTCAGTCCATACCAGTTGCACTGGGGACGTGAACCACGACAGCCTCTCGATGACATCATCGACAAGGCCAAGACAAACCTGACACCAGGCACCGCAGAGTTCACCAGACGCTACCGCATAGATGTGGAAAGAGCATGGGCGTACTTGTTCAAAGCCCAAAAGGGAATGATTGAACAAGCTAACCGCCACAGGCGGTCTTCCCCCATCCGTACGGGTGATCATGTCTGGGTAGCCAGTTCTGAGTTGTCGAGGGAGGAGGATACCTCCCCCAAGTTGTTGCCTCGTTATCTAGGTCTATGGCACGTCTTAGATACAGTAGGGGCCGACCCGTTTGGCACGCCCTATGTCATTGACGTCCCGCTGCATCTACAGACCTACCCGGTCTTTCATGCATCCAAGCTGTTGCCATTCAACCCAGCTGATGCATTCCCAGACCGGCCTCCTCAATTTGGTCCACCGATCCCTGGCAAGGGATATGACGTGGAGTGGATCGAGGATGAGTGGGGCACAGGCCCCGATCGACAGTATCTTGTGAGGTTCGCATTCCAGCCGCCTTCTGAGAACAGAGGCAAGGGATATGACGTGGAAGGGAGCTTCTCAAGACAGCAAAGTCAGTTGTTTTGCGGTAGCGGCTCAGAAGGGCAACCTTCCCCACCGTTCACCTCGTCTGCACCCCTAGCTCGGAGGTCCTCGCTCCCGAGGGGGTAAGCCTGCAATGACTTGTTGATTCTGACTGTCGAGACTAACTACGAGGCTGTACAGTACAACAGTAGGATAGATTCGTAATTTTGTTTGGCTGAGGGCTAACCGAGAGACCTACCTGTAAGGAAATTCGTGATGGACATATCTGCAAATATGGGCAAAATAGGCCCATCAGTATCTCGATTTTCCTACAACTATCCTCACTGCGTTTAGCAGGCCCGGGCTACCCTTAGGACAGACAGGCCCTAAGGGCCTAAGCTGATAGACGGTCCTATAGCCTATAGCTGAGTCCGGTAGAGGCCGAGAGGCTGAAACCGAAACGGTACCGGTCGGTCAGTCAGCCCGGTCTAGGTCTAGGCTAGAGTAGTAGAGTCTATTAATAGTTTGGGGGAATCGGGTTGGGACTTTTGGCAGTTCATTTTCGCGATACAGCGTTTGGAGCCAAGGAGGTCTGCAACGGCGATTGTCTGCAGGCGGTACCCTGAGACCCTCACCGTGGACAGCAGCCATAGCCAGCCTGCTGAGGGCTTGCCATAGCTGGGGCATCCCCTGCGCATCAACC